GAGAGAGAGAGAGAGAGAGAGAGAGAGAGAGAGAGAGAGAGAGATTGGATGTTGGGGTGCTCCAGCGCGCCCGCCACCACTTGGCCCCGCGGGGAGCCCGGAAGGGGGCGCGAGGGGAGGAGGAGGGAGGAGGGGCCCCGCCGGCCGGGGGGCTCCCATGGGCCCCGCGCCACTCCCACTGCCCGATGAAGGGACGGGGTGGCTCTTTATTGATTGTATTAGGAAAAAGAGTTTCCCGGAGTAAACCATCATCTCATTCCAGACTGCCCGCCGCCCGTGGCCCCCCTGTGGGCCCCCCGCCGGCCGGGCGGCGCCCTGTTGCCTACGCTCCCTAGAGGCGCCACCGCTGGCGCTGCTGGGGCCGCGTCTTCAGACGAGGGGAATAAAGGAAGTCGGAACCCCTTTTCGATAAAGAAGGAATAACGATGTTATCTCCCTGGCGATGACGAATCCCTCCCCCCTCCACTCATCTCTTCTTCCTCCCCGCACTCCCGCACTCACCCGATAAATTAATCACGTGGAGGCAATGCGCCCGGAAGGCAGCGGGGCACTGAGTGTGTTGTCGTCCGGACACGGATCACGCGGCTCACACACCCCTTGCTGGCGGCTTTGTATACTGCCCTTGTATAACTCCGAGCTTCGAACAAGAGAGTGACTATAGTCCGTCCGTCGTACTCCATACTCTTTTTGTGTATGCAAGTATTATTTTTTAATTTTCTAAATCCGAATTTTTAAATGACAAGACAGCTTGTCACTCATAATCAAGTGCATGTCATGTTTAGTACATCATGTTTACAGTACACCACACCGCCAGAAATGGAGCGATACCGAAATTTGGGCGATATCGCAACGATATCGTTTAGATATCGCATGTCGTTTTTGTGCCCACTTTTGTGTCGATAGCGACACGAAAAGCGACACAAATGCGATATACGATATCGAAACGATATCGCCATTTCTGGCGGTGCAGGGACCGGGTCGCCCCACCTCCCCCTGTTCTTGCCTTATCCCTTTGGCATCGGCTTTCTTTACTCCTTCCCTTGCCCCCCTTGCCTTCTCTTACACGCTCTCTTCATCTGAAAAGTAGGGGGGAAAAATAGCCTACGCACCTTTCCTTGCTTTGTCCAACTGCCCCTCTTCAACTTGACGGAGCGCGTTGTAAGGCGCCAAGGCAGCAGGGCTCACTCCTCTTACCCTCAATCTCTTTTGTTCTCTCTCTCCGTCTCTCCCTCGCCTGCTCCTTTCTCGCTCAGATCGTATAGTTAGTGGAGCCCTTCAACGCCCCTCCGCGCCCCGCCACACCCCGCACAATCCGCAAATTGGAACTTTAGTTCTTGATTGCTGGCGTGCGTTTCACTGCGGCACGGCGTGCCATTTTAATTTAGACGTGGCGCTTTTCCTCGACGGGGAGCGGGCGCCTCTTCCACGCCCCTCCTCGCTTACCCCGTCACCTCACGGCGCCGTGACGGCGGCAGCAGAGCATTCGTCACGCCCCGTCACAAAACGTCGCGCGATAACGCACCACCGCCGGAGCGCCGCCTGTCTCTGGATCTTCCCCGCTCTCGCGAGGCGGAGAGGACAGACCTCTGGAGAGGAGAGCAGCAGTGGCATTTGCGTCTCCAAATTTCCCCTGCTCTTTTTCAAATTTAATGTTGTACTCTTCCTTCTTTATTGTGGGATTTTACAGTTGTGTGGCATTTGAGACACTTATGAAATGTGGCATACGAACTCGTCTTTCGTTAAAATGGTGCATTTTTACGTGTAGACTGCCTGCCTATTCTCTGATAATGAAAGCGCGACACAAATTATTTTGATTTGTTTCCCAGCTCAGCTTATTCAGGCTCTCCGGGAGTCGCTACCTGTTCTTATGTATGAAGGAGAAAAATAAGAAAAGAAAGGAAAGCGGGGAACAGAAAAGAATACTTTACTTACTAAAGATTGATGAAAATCACAACAGAGAGGAAGACTTTAATCGACCCGACTCTGGGAATGCTCGCTGGCAAGCGAAATTGCCGGGCGGCCGCCGCGCCGGGCTGGGCTGGTTCGGTACGGATACTACTTGAGTGATGGAGGAACAGCATTACCAGGCTTTGGTCTGGACAGTAGGCTGGTCCGGTGACAGAGCCTTACTGTAAACCACGCCTATTTATTGTAATTTTATTGTAAAAATTACTCCATGCTTTCAATTTAAAACTGTCATTTTGTCACCTAATGTAAAGCAACAACAATACAGTTTTAAATTCTCTGATCAGTTCCCGCCTCTACATCACACCGGTAGAGGGGGTAGAGGCTCGACCAATCAGAAATTTTTATGTTCTACCCGCTCTTCTTCTGCCTCCGTCAGCCGAAATACACTACAGCCTTTTAAACCGGTAAACCGGCCAAGAAGCGACGCGAGAGGGTGTAGTAAGGGTGCATCCTCCAAGTTGAGCCAGGAGCTCAGTGGGTCCAAGGTCACCACCGTTCTCTACCGGCTCTATCCACCTTGAGTGAGCCCACCTCGAGTGGGTCAAATTGACCTCAAAATGACATGCTCCATGTCAAATAACATCACTTTGATCTTTTTCTGCAGAAAACCTGTAAATACCACCCCTGCAGTTGGCCCTTGAGGTCCATGTATCAAGACTTTCAAACATTTTACCGCATTTTTAGCAAATTGCTATGCGCCAAAACTGACTTTGTGGGCCGGATAAACAGAGATCTCTTCCGGTGCCACAGACCAGCCTAAGGTCGCGACTAAAAACTCACAGGCAGCATAGGGATTCCAACGGCGCCCAATCGCGACCTTAGTCTAGTCGGACTCTACCACTCCAGACTCGAAAATTTTAGGGCGAGATTGGCCCCGGAAGTCGAAAGATCTAGGCCAGAGAACAAATATGAGAATTTAAAATCTCCACGTGTATGAGAAATCACGCACCCCTCCTTGGTTTTGTTTTTATTCTCGCGGCAGTTCATTTTCCAGACTACCTAACCTCTTTCGCATGTTATTGTATTTCAGCCCAAGGTGCTAGTGCCTAGTTGTCAACAAATTTAGTTTGTATGTGCTAATCGGTGACGTAGTGGAGTTGAAGCAGATCAAGCCATTGTTGTCTTTCAGTGTGAAACTAAAGAATCAAGGTTGTTCAAATGTGATGTGCGGTTTAAAAGTCAGCAGTCTATTTTGACAAGCATATAGAAGTCGACTTATGTTGATTGGAGACTATCTGTCCTCTCATTGCTGACTATTCTATTTCAGATGGAACTACAGTGTGACATTTGCTTTGCCGACTTCAACCTGGACCGTAACAGACCCAAAGTCTTACCCTGCGGACACACCATTTGCGCAGAATGTGTGGACAATCCAGGCTTGGGGAGAAAGTGCCCAACTTGCAGGAAGGTGAGTAAAATCAAAACAAGAAAACATTAAAACCACTAATTATTGTGAAATAGGTGTAATGTTACGAAAGGTAGCTTGCATAGGATTACTTTCGTAATATGCTATATTCACTTAAGGCTCCGATATGGGAAAGCGTGTGGGAGAGCGTAAAGCGTAAGCGTAAATCGTAGCGGCTGGGCGTAAATGAGTTGAGTGGGGGTACGCGCTCTAACCTCATCTTGGCTCATTTTCGGTTTTGACGAGTGTTGAAAAGCATTTTCTGGTGTTGTCATGCATTCGGACTACGCTGCGGTGATAATATTACTATTTTAAAGAAGATCTCATACAAAATTTGTGCCAATGCAAGGTTAGGTCGCTACCCGAGCGCTACGCTTTTACGCTTACGCCTACGCTCTCCCATACGCTTTCCCATATCGGAGCCTTAAGTGAATATAGCAATAATGCATGCAGGTAATTTGTAGTTTTTACTCCACGGTAAATCATTACCTTCATTAGTGTGTCGGGGAGAAAACCACAGTGAATCATAAAAGCCTGGAAACAGTTACTGAAAGCAGGTCATGTGACATTAATCTTCAATAACTTTTTGGTAAGGAAAAATTGTTGTTCAAAACTTGAGGCTATGTCACAGAAGTAATAAAATGTGATCTGCTATCTGATGTTCATGAGTTCTGTATCCGGCACTTTTTGTTTCTTTGAGTTGTTCTTCCCGAATCGCTAGAATGGTCTATAAAAAGTTGATAACCCTGTTTGACGTTTTAACCTAGCACTTTTGTACAGAATTTACTGGAAACAGCTGTAAAGCAGAAACTTGGTTACCGTGGCATATTCATTATCTGGCATGAGTAATATTATAACCATCTGCAAAAGATCTCGCAGTTTCAAGTTCTACCCTGCGCTGTTTTCTTACTAGGACCTGGAGGTCGACCAAGATGACCTCATAGACAACATCTACGTGATTCAGCTGATCGAGAACGACGGCGCTCCGCGCTGCAAGAAGCAGAGAACAGAGGAGACGAAGGTGCAGAAACTGAAGCGCAGCGTAGACGCGGCACGGCAGGTGGTGCAGCAGCTGCAGAAGGTGGTTCCTCTGGCGGTGGAGGCCCTGAACCGCCAGCTGGATACGTCGAACGAGCAGCTGCGCCAGATGGAGGAGGCGGTGCAGGAGCAGGTACGGCGGGAGGCGGCCGGCGATGATGGAGCCCCGCAGGACCTCGCGGACGACCACCTGCAGCTGGCGGTGCAGGTCGACGACAGCCTGCGCCTGCTCACCACCGCCGAGTGCAGCGTCTTATTGGCCGAGGAAGACGGAGCCACCTGGAGGACCCCCTTGCAGCTGGGAGGTGTCGGTGACATTTTTCGTGCTCTGTTGCTGCAGCTGCGGGCGAATGGCGAATTGGTGAAGGTAAGCTACCAATTAGACCTGGCAGGTGTATAGCTGTGGACAATCCCCTACTTCCCCTAATACCCTACTTTACTAATACTGACTCCAGGCTGACTCTCGCCGCGCACTGTTTTAGTTGTTCTGTACCGCATGCAAGGGTGCGGGCGTTTCTGCCAATCTCAGCTGCCCGCGGCCCCGTGCAAGAAGCCCGGCCGCGCTCCTTTTCAAAAATAACCTGTTCAAAACCGCGCCTTCTCGGTGCAGACGCGGGCGAATCCGTGCCTTTGCCGGTTTCGAGGGGTCGTCAAATCCGATATTCCCTCGTACACCGAGCTATATACACAGCTAAACCCTAGTCAAGGACTACTCCGGTAGAACCGAAAAGTAGCCACCACCGGCTCCCCAACGATGAGTGCGTGACTAGGACGTTCCCGATGAGTCTACGAGGCACCAGGCAGACGGGTCCCGGAGATGCACAGTGGCGGAGGCAGGACAAAGTAGTTCCCGATGTGTCCCCGCCCCGCCCCGCCCCGAGGTCCCCGGCTGGTACTCGAGGTCCTCGACGATGGGCAAGACGACGGGCTCGGTACCGTGACGTCCTCGGCGGGTCCCCAAGGTTCGTGGCTGGTAATAGGGGTCCCCGACGATTGGAGCGGATCCAGACGGCTCCCCGAGGTCCAAGCCGGTTACTCGAGGTCCCCGACGTCACGCCTCATTTCGGGCTATTTCCTGCGAGAACCCCAGCATCCTGCGGCCACACGTGTTCACGCTCCTACAAAAAAAAAATCGGTTTTGGGTTATTCTGTATATTTCTAGAGTTGTTTTTTTTTTATCAAATCTCTCATAATCCGATGTCTTTTTTCGACTTTCGACTACACCAACGGATTCCTCTCGCCCTCTTCTAACGATCGAGCTAACGATCCTAAGATTGATAGGGTTCCGAGGCCTCGTGGCTTGACTTATTTCCTAGGCTTCAAACCTTATTATCGATTTAAAAGGTCTTAACGAGATCACTCGTCCGAGTCGCTGCTCCCGCGTCTGCCGAAACGCATGCGAATCGCACGCGAAACGTACGCGAAACGCACGTGAAACGCACGTGAAGCGCACGTGAAACGCACGTGAAACGAACTGATTTGCCCGGGAAACGTCCGGGTGCCGGTCCGCGCGCGCCGAGGGGTGTGGAACTGGACACAATATGTGTACATCGGGAAAAACAATCAGAAACAATCATGAAACAATCACACACAATCACACACAATCCGAAACAATC